CCTGGCTGGCACTACCATCAGGAGTTTCAAAAGCCAAGGAGCAAATCCCACATTTTTAATGCCCTGGTGTGGGTAGCCTGCACCTAGGCACCCATCCATGCCCACCATAAATCCCCACCACAGTGGGTCTGCTCCGGGTGTCTCACTTCCAGTGCAAAGGCCACAGAGCTATTCTGTGAAACAAATCTTTCTTTGGGAAGCACTTTCATCTTTGTTCTCCTGAGGTTGTGATTCAATTCCTAACCCAGCAAGTAGTCTCTATCGCAGCATTTTCATGCGCTGTGCAAATTTTGATGCTTTTCAGATTAGGGCTGTTCATGAGAAGAAGAAAATGATGTCCTTGCACCTTTAACCAGGCAGCAGCTCCTGGGGTGCCACATAGCTGTGCTGTGTTCACTGTGAGGAAGCCCATAATGATCTTGCCTTTAGCCTGTCACCACTAGCAAACATCAGAGAGAGACAGCCAAGGGGGACAGAGTTGCCAAAAACGTCCTATTCCCATGGCTGGGAGATTTTGTTGGCACCATCTCTAAAGAGAATTTACTATGGGCCAAATCCTGGCGCCCTTACTTAGATGAATCAGTTCTCAAGAGGCAACGCTCCCGCTGTGAGTGGTGCGTGCGTAAAAACCTGCCAGATCAGCCCCAAATACTGCTTGGGAGTATAAGCGCTGCTCTTCCAGAGGGGCAGGAGCGCTGTGGGAAGGAACCAGCCCAAGGCTTTCCTGTGGAGACAGTGCTCAGCTAAGGGGCAGGAATTTGGGAACTGCGCATGAAGGAAGGATATATTCCCCAGCAAAAATCTCTGAATTACTTTTACTTGGAATTTTTCTTATTTCCCATAAAACAAACACAGATGAAACAGTTTGGCAAGTAATCCTTTTTTTTTTTTTTTTTTTTTTTTCCCTTACAGGGGCATCCAAAATACTCCATGGTACTTTAAGGCTTAATTAATCTTTCATGTGAAGAAAAATGAAATAGTGACAGCTATTTCCTGGACTTCATTTCTGGGATTAAACCCTTTGTTTCTGGAATATTTGAGGGGATTTTGGACAGGCATTTAAAAATATGTCATTTCAAGGACATCCCCCCAGCACCACACGCGAAGTACTCGTCTGCAACATCGAGTCTCATTAGCCCGAAAAATTGCATTGCTCGCAATGACTTTTTCTTTCCAAATAGAAATGAAAATTTCTGTTTTAAGAAGCGAAGGTGGCGTCGACGACGAACAAAACAAATTCTCGGCGGCTTCGCCCCAGCTGTTTACCTCCTCGGGGCGGGAGGGGCGGGGGCAGGTTTGCCGAGGTGGGCTGGGAGGGGTGAAACTACGGGCGAAGTTTGCCGAGCTCCGCGCAGCCGGCCGGGCCGGGGCCGGGGCCGGGGCGGTGCCGGCGCTGCCCGCGGCGGGGGCGGCGGAGGCGGCGGGGCAGCGGCCGGGGCGGTGCCGGGGCCGGTCCGCCCCCGCCCCGCCGCGGCGCGACTGCCGAGCTCCGCCGGCGGCCGCGGGCCGCGCTCCCGCTGCGGTGAGACCGAAAAGTTGCCCGCGGTAGCGGCGGGCCGGGGGGGCGCCGCGGTGCTGGCGGAGGGACGGGCGAGAATAAATCCATTGGCGGGAGGTGGAGGCGGGGGTGGGCTCTGCCGGGCGCGCCTCCCCCGCGCCGCCCCGGCTCCCCGCGCAGCCGGGATGGGGCGCCCGGCGGGGCACGGCGGGCGGAGCGGGCCCCGCCGGCGGGCGGCGGCCGCAGGTACCGGGCGGCGCGGCGGGAGCGCGGCGGCGCTGCCGAGCGGAGCGGGCGGGAGCCGGCGCCGGCCGCGGACGGGGCAGCCGGAGCGGAGCTGCCGGGTTCGTCCCCGCCGAAGTCGCCCCGGGGCGCTTGGGGTGAGTTGGGGCTGGCGCCGCGGCGGGGGCCGGCCCGGGCCGGGGCTCGGCGCTGCCGGCGGGGCGGGGAGCCTGGCGAGCCGTGATTTACGGGCTCCCCGGCAGCAGCCGGGCGCTGGGAGGCAGAGGGAGCCGCGTTCCCAGCTCCCCATCAATAATGGATGGAAACAAATACTGGAGTCCGTTCTGAATTATCCCCGTGCCGCGGCAGGGGCAGCTCCGCGCCGCCCTCCTGCCGAAAACAATGCTCAGGTGCAGAGCGGGGAAACTTTTTTTTTTTCCTGGGGGGGTGGGGGCGTTTCATCACTGCAGAAACCGATACAGCTGCTTTCAAGGAGTAATTAGAAAGGGTTTAAAGCCTTCTTTATTATTTATAAGGATGGATGGAAATGAAAGGTCACACAGATATGTCTAGGTGGCTATTACGCCTGTGTTTTAAAGGGTCGTGGGGTGGTTGTGGAAGGTTTTTTATATTGTTGTTGTGGTGGTTTATCTTGTGAGTTAAAAAAAATGCGATTTACTGCTTTAGGTTGATGTTTTGAAAAAATTGTAGTTCCGGTGGAAAGCCCACTTGTTAGCATGAATATGGCTAGTCTTAAATTAGTGCGTTTCTGCCAATCTCTCAGTTGTTTCTTACTTCTGGTCAAGATTATGTCTGTAGCACAGACATTAGCCTGTGAGTAATTTGAGCAAAATTCAGCCTTCAGTGTGTAAAGTCATTTGTATTTGTGTGTGGCTTAGAATACATTTGCTTTTGAGCATAGCAGCAGCAATGATGGTTCATAATGCTCACATATGTGGCACTTGCTGTACAGATGGTATTGTAGCTTATCCATGTACACACACACACACGCTTCACACATAATGTGCAGGAATTACAGCAAACTTCCTCCAGAATACTGTTCAGTGCTCTGTAAATGTGTGGCATTTTTTCCCCCTGGTTATTTCCTTCAGGGAAAAACAAAAGCATGCATCTTTATTGGAATACCTTTGTGCTTCAAGTTGTTGGTCTTACTAATGTTCCCTAAATATTATTTGAAGAAACAGCTTCCTACTGTCTTAGAGGCGTTTACTGGTGGTCTGTTGCTCTGACATACAAATACTTTCACAGAGAATTTTCTGAGGTTCTCTCCTTTTTCCAAGTCCAACAGGAAGCTCATTGTAAAGCTTTGCAATTACTTTTGTGGCAAAAGAGAATAGACGTTTTTTCCTGCTTTATTCATGCTGTAAAATTCGGTGTACCTCTAAAGTCTACTTCAGTTCCTTTCTGTAAATTAAGCTGTATGGAATCATGTTTAATGTTGTAAGTGACAGGCATATTTTGTTATGTTGGCAGATATTGTATAAACATTTACTCTGGCTTAGATAAAAACAAATTGCCAGCTTAGTGCTCTGATTCTTTATATAATTATGAACTTCAGCAGTTTTTGTGTTAACTAATATAAAGCTCAGGGTTTTTTTTTTAAATCGGGAAGGAAAAGTTTGTAGTAAGAATTTATTAGGATTCTGAATTATGTAGCTCGGATTTGTTTTCAGAAAGGCAGCCAAAAAAGTATAACCCAGAGGCTCTACATTGGTTTATTTAAACAGCTTCTCACTTTCATCTGCACCTTTAGTTACAGTGAACCTTCCTCCCCCATATCCTGCAGTCTGTCACTACCTGTTCTCCTTTATGGTGAGATGCAACAGAGATAACATCATTTTCTAAATGTGCTTTGTGTGATGCAGGAGTGTGTGCCAGGAATACAGGGATGGCACTGTCAGAGCTCCACAAACCAGCTGTGTGGCTGCGGGTTTTCCCCCCAGCCTCTCGCGCCCTTTGAGCTGGACCATCTGAACGTTTCTGGGAATGGCTGAGCTGAGCTGTTAGAGCAGATATTTTAGCCCTTGGAGCCGCCATAACTTTGCTGTCTATTAATGAAGAGCACATTTAGACAGAACGCTTAATTATAGATGCAATTCACTAGAGGTTGATCTTTGATCCAGTCAGTCCCGTCATGAGAGGTGTGGGAAGGAAAAGTCCACCATGGAAGTTCAGTTCAAAGTGTAAGTTAGACATTTGTAATCATGTATCTTCTGGTCTTACTACAGCTCATCGCATTCATGTTTCAGTTCTGGATTTTTATGGGTTTTAAATTCTTTCAAAACATTAGTGCACTCAACACAGGACTCGGTATCCCCCGAAGTCAGGTGTAGCCAGTTAGATGAACCTGCATGGAAATACTGAAATGCTATATTTGTTTGTCTTTCTGAAAAATAAAAAGCAGTTTGAAATCTGAAATCAAGTGGCAATCAGGGGTGAATATGGTCAGTTTTTATCAGGTGTAGAAAAGTGGTGTGACTGAGACTGTTCCAGTTCTAGTCTTTTTTGGTAAAACAAAAGAAACAGGTACTTCAACAGCTTCTGTGCCTGTATAAGCTTATGTGGGGCTTACTTACATTGCAGTCTCTGATATTTTTTCAAGGCTTAGACTGTGTGTTTGCTAACTGAACAGAGGAGATGATGGTTGATTACATACTCATATGTTAAACATACCTCTAATTCCAGATTGATAAAATCAGATACCTTTCGACTTGATAAAGTAACAATTTGCTCCACAAGTAATTAAGCAAAGATGGAATAAGGCATATTACTGGCATTGGGTAGTACAAGTTATTTTCAGTCTTAGCAACTCAATGTAATTAAAACAGTTCAAATGTTGCTTTCGTCAAAACTGCTGCTCGAACAGATGATCCCTTCTTATGCATCCGATAAGCTACTGCAGTTACTGTTAAAATCCATCTAAGCCATTTTATTAAGCTGTTATTTGTTCTGTGAATAGCTGCCAGCCTTGAGTTCAAAGGAAAGTGGGTTCTGATTTGTTCCCGTGTCACATGGAAGAGGTGTGCAGTGAGAACAGTGTTGCTGCCCTTCCGATGCTGTCCGTGGGGCTCTGTGTGTTGTCTGCCATAGCCTGCTTTCCCTCGTCATGGCATGACAGTAATTACAGTACAGCTAATATCAGAAGTTGGTTCCGTTTATTCAGACAGGACAACTGTTAAATTGTCCCACTTTCAAAGTCAAATGTTTGTTAACCACAGAGATCAAATCTGCAGTGCATATATACAGCATATGAGTAGTATTGATTTCCCTAACTTTTCTTTTCCATTCGGCTTTTGTTAACTAACCCAGATTAGCATTTTAACAACCCTGAAGTGAACTTCTGCCATTCTCCCTGCTTGGACAGTGTGTGTAGGCCATCCATCATCCTGTCCTTGGCCACAACAGGCTACTGGCTCCATAACCATTTGGAGCTACACAGAAACCACCCGACTGTGAACAGCACAGCTGGCTACAGCAATTTTTTCTTCCACGCCACTGGCAGCATTGTCTGGCTATGGTAACTAAAGTTAACATCCAGAACGTGAAGTTTCTTTCATTCTGGCGCCCCTGCCCAGCCCCACTGCAGCTCGGTGTGCACACCTGCAGAAGGAAGGGCTGCAAACTAGCAGGGAGGAGTGAGGCAACCTCTGGACTCTTGCTTTTCAAGGCTCCAGTTTGGAGACAGCAACCTGTTGTTTGGAGTGGGATGACATTAACTCTGTCCATACTCGAGAGGGAGCTTGCTGGCTGCATCCTGTGTGTGCTCAGTGTGCAGTGAGCTTGGGAAGTGCCAGCTACAGAAACAGAACTTGCCACTTTAACTTAGCCACACAAACTGCCAAGGAGCACAGAAAGAAATGGAGAATTTCGGCTGTGTATTTCACACATTCTTGTAGAAGCCTTTTTAGTTCCACAACGGAAACCATGTGATTTCACAGGATCTGTGCCCAGAGTCTAATACTTGCTACAGATGCTTTCCTTGGTTTGTTTTGCAGATCTGTGAATGCAATAGGGAAGGAGTTGTTACAGGATTTGTTGTTTTAATTCTGACATATACTTTGAATGGCAGGTAAGCAGCAGGTAAATGTACTTGTGACTCTATGCTAATTTTACTTGTTGAGATTTTTGCATAATTTATATAAATTGGCCTAGCATGGCTGTCTGTCATCTGCTTTCTTGCTAGACGAGAACTTTTGCTTTCAAGAGCAAAAGAGGTCAAGAGGTATTAGTGGGAAGGGAGGGGCTTGGTGGGAGTGGAGGAGCAAAGAAGTGGTGGTGGAAGAGGAGGAGCAAGGAGCTCAGGCAAGCAAGTGACATTTGTTCTGTCCAGAACGGTTGCAAACCTTGTAAACTAAATCAGTCCCTGGACAGCTTTGATTTATATTCTCACACAGCAGATTGGCCTTGGTCTGCCTGACCTTGGTAACATAACAGAGGTCGTATTTGCACACAGAGACTCTCTGTGCAAAAAGGTTTGTTGTTGCCGTTACTTTTTTCTTTTTTAACCGTTACATCTGAGAGCCAAATTGCAGCCCAGTTTCTAATTGGATAGGCACTGGGAAAACACAGAAAGAAAGGGATGGCTCCTGTTCCCACCGTGGATGGTTTAAAAGAAGAGATGGCAGATGGGTACAGTCGGGCAGTGGCCTCTGGAAGCAGGAGAGCTGTGTTGTCCTGCACAATCGGCAGCTGTGCACAGGCCACCTAAACACAGCTGAGCTGCGTGTGTCAGGGACAGGGGCACACGTGCTTTGGCATCAGAGGCAAAGGGCAGCTTTGAAGAGGGCCTGGGATGAGAATGAGGAGTTAATTGGCAGATGCCTGCTGGGGGGCTCTTCAAGTGTGTGAGGGACAGCAGGGAGGCAAGCACAGAGTTGCTCATCTAGAAAGGTAACGAGTGAGTGGTGGGGAGCAGCATCACAGACTGGCTGCCCACCAGCAGTGGGAGTGAAACCTCAGAAGAGATGAGAGCTGATCAGCTGGTCACTAGCTCAGCTGTTACTGCAACAATAGGCTTTTCTTAATGTGAGCTACACAGCTCATCTTTAGTTTATCAAATGGTCATGGCAGCTGGGACTGCTTTCTCAAGCAGTGGTAAAGTACCAGCTCACACCTCTGTTGGGCCTTCTCAGAGCTTTACTGTGGTGTGAAGCAAAAGGGATTTCCCTCAAGTGCTGCTGTGTGTGTAGGGCTGCTGGTGGTGGGCAGGGACTGCAGCACCAGCACGAAGTGTTGCTGCTATTTCTGTGTCTGTCGTGACAGATGCACTTTGGGGTTGAAAGAAGGTCTTCACACTTGTATGTCAAGCCCTTGTTTATGCTGTGCCTCCATTTAGGTGCCCCCTTCCCATGTTGTGTGAACCTACGTGTCCCATCGGGCTGTGTAACCATTGTGTTTTGGGAGACCACAGAGAAGAAAAATGCGTATTTAATTTTTAAAAAAACCCTCCATGTATAGTTAAGGCTGCAGTATTGAAATTTTAGATGGCACCTGAATGTAGCCCAGCGTGAGGGAGCGTGGCTCTGCCTGTTGGTGTGCTGGTAGCCAAAGCAAGAAAGGGCAGTGCAGGCAGTGTGGGTGTTCCCTGAGCAGTGCAGTCTCAGGAGTGAAATACCAGAGCACTGCCTGGTGGGTCAGGGCCCTGTGGAAACAACTTGAACCAGCCAACCTGGAAGGCAGGAGGGGCCCTCTGGCTCTCCAACAGTTGTCCAAGAGCCAGCTTTGGCACCCCTTGCAAATATAGCTCTTTTGTGTATTGCCACCTGGGGACGAGTGCTGAAGAGAAGGGAAGGGATAACAGAGGAAAAGCAGTAGTGGGAAAGCTGTCAACAGTGTGTGAACAATGTCCCCAGGTGTCTCATGAAAGGAGTAATAAGGGAGGGAGAAATAATCTTGCAGAGTTGAATGGTTTCCTTCAATTTGCAAACTTCTCTCTGTGACAGTTTCTTTAACCCAGCACGTGTTTATCAAAGATTAACACCAAAAAGCCAGTAATGATTTGCTCAGTAAATCATATTTTCTTCATAAAGTAAATGCTTTGTGGATATTTTTAGCATGATGTAGTTTTTTTTCCTTGATGATAACCTCAGACAAAAATAATCAAATCTCATGCTTTGGAGATTAATCTGATTTCCTGCAAGGGTATGGATAGAAATTTTTTTTTTTTTTTTTTTTTTTTTTTTTTTTGTCTTGCATAGCACTATACAGGTTTTACTGTGAGAGTGGATTATGGCTTTTCCTCCCCCTAAAGCATCAGGTTTTCATCCTCACCAAAAACATGACAAACACTGCTCATGGCTGAACAGCAAGCTGTGGTCTTCAGCAGCAAGCTGTGCCAGCACAAACCTAAATATTTGGCGCAGATGGGTAAGAAAAATAGACCTGCAGACATAAATAGTGGGGGGGGTAGGTATGATTATCTTGTCGTGTTGTTACACTGGCTAATATTACCAGGGACAACCCAAGGATTTAAGGAAACATTGTAATTGTACTGGGGATCTGGGGAGGCCAATGTTGAAGAGAGAGTGGGACAGGCTGTAATAGAAAGCTTTAAAGCCCTGAGTTTTATTCCCTGATTTGGCATAGATTTCCTTCTGACCTTGATTCAAGCACTTGCAGTCCATGTGGTACAGATTTGAATTTTTTTTTATTATTATTTTACCCTGAAAGGTTTGATCTGTGACTTCTCTGTGGCTCACAAGTCAAAATGCCAAAGTACTGTGATGGAAATATTTCCCTGTCTTGCAGAGTGAATGCTATCGTGAGGGGATGGAGCCCAAGTAAAACAGAGAGGAGGGAGAGCTGCTGCCCAGCATGGCTGCATCCAGTTGCAAACACTGCCATGGATGGGCTCTGCAGGTTTGCTCTGTGGAAAGTGGGCAGCTCTGTGGTGCAGAGTTCCCCAAATCAACACAGGGATGTGCCCAAGCTTGGGACTCAGAGTAGGGAGAGCCGTGGTTACACTTCACCAGCCCCAGACTGGCAACAAACAGGTGTAGTTTACCTTAGTGCATTTATATCAGTTTAATAACTTCAGCAGACTGGAGGGCCAGGAATCAACCAGATCAAATGCTGCACTAATACATCTGATTTCTAAATAAATAAAAATAAATTTTTGACCACTACTCTGTGTTTTTGGTAAGCCAGGTCCTCCCAAGAGACCCTCAGCACAGGCACCTCTCGAAACATGTCCCTGTCCCTCTGACCATCCCCGGGGTCTCACAGCATGAGCACTGGTGTTCCCCCCTCCCCTGTAAATATGTATATACATACTTTTACAAATACACAGTCGGAGACTACAAAGGCAGCAAATGTGATAATGTGATCCAACTGTTCAGTGCTAGGCTAGAAAGAAGTATTTTTCTGCCATTATGTGAAAATTTAGCGTGACTGGAACAGAGTCTGCATTTGATTAGGCAATTTAAGAAATGGAAGAGCCTTCATACTGTAGGGCAGTGCTGCAAAACAATTGCTCGGAACATGTTCTAAAATTGGTTTGCTTTCACCAGATTTCCATGTGTTTCTGCATGACATCTCAAATGAAAGTATGAGCAGTCACATGGCAAGTGACAACATTTTGGTAATATGGTAAATAAAAGCAGCAGTTTAAACAATTACTCCAGATCCTGAGAAGACTTTGAGATAAAGGAAAAAAACCAAACTAAAACCAAGAAAACAAAACTCTCTAGTTCCTGTAAGCCTGGGAAAGCCATTTCATAACACATCCTTTTACTGGCACAGTTAATCTTTAATCCTAACAAGATAATAGTAATTGTTAACTTCGAGCTCAAGGTTCCTCCAGGTTTTCATGCCTGTGTTTTGTACATGTAATTGATGGTGCCCAGGAAAGGGGCAGAGCACACGCTTTGCATATACAAGTAGGTAACTGGGTGGCCAGCTACCAGATTTGTCTGAGCAGAAAAAGCAATGCTGGTTGAAAACGTGTTGTTCCCCAGGATCTGTAGGCAGTATTCCTGCAGGCAAGGCTGGCTGACCATTCCAGCCCTGAAAATGGCACACACAGAATCCCAGCACGGTGTTTATGATCTCTCACGTGCTTCTTGCCTCTTGAGTCCCCTCCTGTCCCTTTGCATTTTCCGCAGCCATTTACCTTCTCTCTGAAGTGAGAGCAGTGACATGCAGCAGCCTTTTCCCCAGCAGCAGCAACTCAAGCCAGCAACGCTCCAGCAAGGCACAGTGATGAGATGCTGGAGGGACGTTTGTAGCAGGGGAGAGTGGTGGGTGGAAAGAAGTGATGCTTTCTGGAGTGAGGTTGACAGCAACATTGTCTGAGGCACAGCCTGTTGAACAGCAGATGTGCCCTTTCCACAGTGCAAATCCCTTTTCTCTCCCTCTGCCCTGCTTGTTGGTGCATATTCCTTCCCCCAAACCTCCCTTCCATTTCAAAACATCCCATTCACTTCATCCAGCAGGCAAACCCTGACCTCCTGGGCTCCAGCCAGGACTCAAATGGGCAGCACTTATCTCAGGATCGGGGCTGCAGCCCTGCTCAGGGGGAAGGCTGCTTAGGCTGCTTTCTGCAGGGCTGGCAGGCAGCAGGCCCGGGGTGCTGCCAGAGCTCCCTTGGCTGTGGCGTCGGCTGGACTTGTGCAAGTTGTGCCCCAGACCTTCATTACTCCTCACCTGCAGGTACTGGTCTGTACCTGTCTCGGAGTTACCTTATCAGATGATGCCTAATCATGCTGAAATGAGTGTCAGTCTTGCTATGTAAATCATGTTCTGCAGGCTTCCAGGAAGAGCACTGACTTCCTTCACTTACAGCACTGACCCACACTTGCAGCCAGCCCTCCCAGAGGGAGGCAGAGTGATACTTTGCTCTAGGCTTTAGGCTTTTCTTCCAGGCCAAGGTGGGCAGTTTGGGTGTTATTGAACATCCAAGCCTGTGTGTACTTCGGGAGGAAATTAGGTCTTTGCCATTATGGTTTAAGGGTTCTCCCTAGTTTTCAGGATAAAGTATTTTGGTCTAAAACACATTAGTCAAAAGCATCAGACACCTCTGACACAATTGGGAGCTGGAGGTGCTCAGGATTTTACCCTGATGAGCCACAG